ATTTTTATAAATGGAAAGAATGGCAGTGGTCCCTAAGAAATGTGAAAGAAAGGCAGTAGTACATGACTTATGCTATTGTGCCCCTGAAATCTTCTAATGTAATTAGGCCTAGATCAAAATGATGCATTCGCCTCGAGTTACATATTATCTAGCCTACTATGTTTTTTGAAAAAAAAAAAGTAATACAAAGTAGCAGATTGCGTAACGTAAAGACGTTTACTTTATCAAACAATCAAAAACAGTCTTCCAGCGGCAGAACAAACAATTAAGAGGGACGCGTGGAAAATTTGATAAAAATCTGGCTGAATACAAGGGAATAAAAGGCTGAAAAAACATTAATTCAGAGGCAGAGAAATAACGGCAATAGTGGATTTCACCGAACTATAGTACCAATAAAATACCATGAAATATTAATTTACAACCACAAAAGGGAATCTGGTTCAATAATATGTAATGAAGTCAGTTCACATCTACAATGAGAGCAAGGAACTTCTAAAAACATGTTGCCCAAGGTATACATGGACATTGTATCTGGACGACCCTGATCAGCTCCTAGTTGGCCTACGCACAATTCCTAAAAAAAACAAACCAAAACAAAACAAAAGAGACAAACAAACAAAATAACCATTGGAAAAGCAAGACATCATACGACAGGCTCACGGAATGTGTACCTTATGTTGATAAAAAATGTTTGTCTTTTTACAACTACAGTAGGTGTCTAAAATGAATTTACTGAAAGAGTACTCTACACTCCCCCTACCCTCCTTTTGCTCTCCCCAATCCTCAAGACATAGGCCAACTCGAAATCAGATGGCTGTACCTATTTAAAGAAGATTTTTAAACTCAACAACAATTGTAATTAATCACATACATCTAATATACAGATACACTGGCATTTAAAGAGAGTCAGCTAAAGATGCCATGTCAACAGTTGTTTTCTGTCTAGAACAGAATAGGTATGCGAAAGACTGACACTGAGAATGAGAAAACCTGAGAAAAGAAAAACAAAAAATAAATACAGTCCTTAAGAATTCATGAAACTAACAATTTTTTTCTACTTTTTCTGAATTAGAACAATATTTGAGGCAGCGAGGTGGAATCAGGCTCTCGTCAAAATAATGAAATCGAAGGAAACAGCAGTTTTCTCCCTGCTTAACAATTTTTACCAATTTTTTTGTTTTTCGGCTCAACACCTTGTATGTCCATTTACAAACAAATTCCTTTGAGGATTTCACCGAAAAGCGTTGATTAAAGGCACAAAAATAGAAATTTACAGTTTCATTGGACTCTCCAGCTTTGGAATTTACCAAGCTTTGGCGGCCATTTTCTCGCTAATTTTACTCTTGAATCAAGTGGCCCCCACCTCCTTCAATCCAAAATATCTCCACTTCTATTGAAGATGGATAGGTTATTTTTTCATTGAAAGCAAGACACATGAACAAGCTTTTTAAGATGATACCAATAACTCAATATGCCCAAAAATTGACGAGAGCCTGATTCCACCACGCTGCCTCACATATACATACTATTTTCCATTTAAAAAGGTCAGTCTTCTTTTATCAAACACAATGAACAAAGTTAAAGTATTAAAATGTATATATATATATATATTTAAAATTAGATCTAAAGGTCATCAAAAAGATCTTTCCCAGCACGAACAAAGACTGTACCCACATCAACATTTCTGTAATAAGAGATATCGGGGGTAAGTGCTGCGGGGGCTAGCAGCAGTATCAGAGCTGACTCTTACTGCTCATATACTATAGTTTTGGGTTTTTTTCAAAACAACTGCCTGACCTCTCAAACTGAATGTATACCGTATACCTTCATGAGACAAGCTTATCTGAAAGTAAGAACTGAGAAAAGCAAATAGTAGCAGCATCCTAGTTCATAACAAAGCAAAGAATCACAACAACAAAAATGGGATATAACCTATCTTTAAAAAGTATAATTTTCCATAGGACAACCACTTCAGCTGGGGGAGGGGTAGGCCTACTTCATAGACCTATCTTGGTAGCTATGACATTTTTAGATAAAGCCTTATAGCAAGGAGGTAATACAGGAAGACATCTCTAAAATGAAATTTAAATATTCTTTAAAATGGACGGTTGCCATGGTAACGGTATTCATAGTAAAAATAAACAACTTTCTTTAAAAATATAAAGGATTTTTTTTTACCCACCAATTTTAAAAATGTATCAAATTTGGTACTTTGGTAGATATACTCAATACAAAATATTTTTATTTAGTTGGGCTCTTGGATAGGCCCTTCCAGAATAGAAAAAAAAGATAGAAATGGATAACTGACCTACCCATATCATGCCTCTGAATTCGACTACATAATCAACCTTAACTCACTTTTGAAAGCATCGATTTGCTTTTCCACCTGTACAATATTAGGTTATGGTGTGAATAACAAACCCTGAAATTTTCATTAGAATCAAAAACAAAATAAAAAAGTAGATGAGAAAAGGCTATCAAAAATTGAAGTTTTGAGAAAAACAACATTTTGTTGCATAACAGGCAAACAAAAGTTCACGGACAGAAAAACGTCCAGATACCTAACTTACCCAAAATCGTCAACTTTAAAAGCAGCCCCCCCCCCCCCTTTCCCCCCCACTTTAATCAATTCTCCCTAACTTTTTGGTGTCCTCAGCTAGCTCCTAAATCTTAAGTTTCTTGAAGGTGTTGCTTCTGTCTCATCGATTTTACAGCTCTAATTGTTATGAAGGAAACACATGGGCATGGCGTCAGTTGCTGAACGCTGAGAAAAGTTAATTTTTAAAACTTTGATTAAAGAGTTTTAAGGCACCTGCAATACAAATAGGTCATACAAGTGCCGAAGATAGGGGTAGATGAGTGGAATCGTTACTAGAGAGTGACATACAAAGAAAAGAAGGAAAAACACAACCGTTATTGTTTTTTTTAAATATAAGATAAGGACAGCGTAGCACCAACTAATCACACAGGAGACACAAGCCTACTTTATGTCCACAGAATCGTTTGGACTTCATTTTCACCTTTCAACATTATTTTGTCAGTGTCGTCAGACACTGCATTGATTGAAATATTCAACTTGTCGCATAATGTAACATTATCTGTACCAGGTGACCCGAACGAAAGAGTATATAGCCATAATTTGACAAAAGGTCTCATGGAGTAAGTACTGTGAACCGTCTGGGGCTTGCTGAATGATTTTCTTTCCCTGGTCCTCGTCCTCCTCCTCCTGTGCCACCATAACCACAAGCACCACGTACCACCTCATCTTCCTATTCCTCTCCACTTTCTTCTTCTTCTTCTTCTTCTTCTTCTTCTTCTTCTTCTTCTTCTTCTTCTTCTGCTTCTTCTACTTCTTCTGCTTCTTTTTCTTCTTTTGCTTTTTCTTCTTCTGACTCACTCATGCGAAAACACAACGAGGCTATTTAAAAAATATTAAATATTTCCAAAGTTTGTTTACGTAGATGAATACAGAGGGTAGACTGGTTTAAATGGGATAATTGTAGAATTTGTTGTTGGTTTGCATTTGCTAAAATTTGAACTGAAGTCTTACTATCAGAAAGAGAAAGTTATTTTTTTAAAATCTCTGCACAAATACGATGGGGGAGGGGAGAAAGAAGAGGAGTTAACGGGACATAATTCACGAAATATTTCAAACAAGAGCAGGATCGTTTTGAACTAGGCCTATGTCCCTTTAATCTACTGCATTCGACTCAGAACCGATGACATTTCGATTGCGAAAGCTGCCTTATCGGCTGGCCGTCGGAATATGACTAGAAAATTACTATCTGCAATAAGTTATCTACCGCTGAACGGTATTTAACGGCCGTCCAAGGTTATTTCAACATTGTAATCCGATTGCCGGACTTGCCGACTCAGGCCTACATATATATACTCGTAGCCCATATACATTGTATATAAATTATATATTTATATAATATATATGTTTAATTATATATAATTTTATATGTATATATATATATATACATATATATATATATATATATATATATATATATATATATATATATATATATATATATATATATATATATATACATCGTTCATTCACAGTAGAATTGTAATGGGCTGATTCATCATGTCACGTTCATAACTGTGCCTGATCTACAACAGGGAACTGCTGCTTTTTCTTTCCTAATCCTTACTAGCGTCATTCTCCTCTAGATCTTCTTCTTTTGTATGTTTGTCAGACTCTTGTGACCTGCTATTTCCGGGGTGCCTTGATAGTCGAAGCAGACTTTGTTGCTGTTTAAGCTAGAGAGGTGGGCAGAGTAAGTCTGATTCACTGTAAAGACTTCTCTGTTGACACCACCCACCCCTTGGCGCTCATATGACCAGTTGCGAGCGCCGTAAAACCCTCGACTATATATATATATATATATATATATATATATATATATATATATATATATATATATATATAATATATATATATATATATATATATATATATATTATAAGTGTGTGTTTATATATATATATATATATATTTATATAAAATATATATTAATATATAGCTAATATTATATAAATATATATAAAATTATAGGATATTTCAAAGAGAGTCGCAAATATGGAAAATAATACTTTTTTAAAAATACTAGAGTGCCATCTCAATCAAATTAGGTTGACCCCCAAAAAGTTTGTAAGGTATGAAGATTTTGCACCCCTGTGACATTAGATAGTACAGTACTACTAGATTTTTGCCATGCATAAAATAACAATTAGTAAAACGAAACTTGTGTAGATTTACATTTAATGATATGTACAGGTACTTGTAATTTATACCATAATTACTTCTTTGAAACAGCTGACAATAACTTTTATCATTGGACATTATGTTCCGGACATTATGGACCCCTTTTTCAGAGCCTACATGAAATACGAATTTTCATTTTTCACAAATAGGCTTTCTTTTCACATTTCTCTCAATTTCTATTTCTAGATGCCTCTGAAATAAATTATGCGAACTGTTTCTGGTACGACTATCGTGAGAACTCTTGGGTCTCAAGCAACAAAGATGGCGGTTTCCGTCAACACTGCTTTGTTTATTTTGCATACCTTTACAACATCAATTTTGATGTAAGTCTAGTGATATGTTTTATATTGAATCCATTTTTTAGACTTAGTGATGTATAAATTCCCCTGAGTCATGATAAATTTCATCTGTGTCAACTGAACTGTCATAGAAATCTATTATTGTCTCTGTTAGTTGCAATCCCTTGTTTCTTGGCCTTGGCCTTGGCTTGCTATCAATACAATGTAACACAGAGCTGATTGCATGTTACAATTTTCGGTACTTTTACTGTACTCCGGTACATTTTTGAGAACCAGTACTTTACTTTACTTCGATACTTTTTATTTTAAGTACTTTTGAGTCTACATCTATCTAGATTAGTAGGCTATTTTTTTAGGCCACCTCTATTCTCACCCCGGGTGAGAATAGCGCAGGCGAGTCTTTTGGCTATTTTCACCCGTTGTGCGTTCACCATTATAGCCTACATCTAGGCCAACCAATTTTGCGTTCACCCTGAACCACAGAATTCTACACTGATAAAACAGAAAAATTGTAGAATTCTGTGCCGTGAGCTTACACTTTCCATTACTAAACTAAGTGTACTACTGTAGCCTAAAAGCGTATTATTATAATATTATTGTCTGTGGACAGTGGAGAGAGAGAGAAAGAAAGAGAGAGAGAGAGGAGTAGCGTGAGAGCTTGGACCGGGCAAAACAAAATGGCGACCCACGTAGTTCGGCTCGATTCGAAAAGTTAAAATATAGCTGTAGCATCTTTGTAGACAACCAAATTAATTTACTTTTGAGTGTTAACATCATTTTTTAAATAATTTTTAACTTTAAAATATTTTGGTCAATTTGATCGTCCGCACCGACAGACAGTAATCAGAAAGAGACAGAGAGAGAGAAGAGGGGAGGAGTAGATCTTGCGAGAACTTCCGGGCAAAACAAAATGGCGACCCGCGTAGTTCGGCTCGATTCGAAAAGCACATTAAATGAATACACAGAAATTATGGCTCTTTTCAAAATCTCTCTCTTTTCATCATTTCTGTGTGCTCTCATGCTGATGCGTGATCCCCCAAAAAACTTTTTACAACTTTTTATCTGAATATATCTCGTACAAAAATTGTTCTAAGTTGTTGTATTTTGAAACAGAACTAATTCATTCTCTCAAATAAAATTTCTTTGACATAAAATTAATACAGAGATGAAACTTACTTTTGAAAACGAAAATTATGTCTTAAAGAAGAAAAAAACCTCTATATGCTAAATGCACCACCAATTAAAAATCTTGTAGATCTAAGGAAAGACATGAACCGATCGGTTTGCTTTTTTAAAAATCATTTTCTTTTTTGCATTAAATTTTTTAATCCCTGTAACATTTAAATAGAAGTATTTCATTTCTCATAGAATTTAAAAAACTAATTTAATATTTTTATAAATTCCAGAATTCTTGGAGCCGGTGCCCTCCTTTAGATTCAAAACATTTTATAAACCTTGCTCGTAATGTTCAGTGGTGGCCAAACATAAGGACCCGCCAAACCATCAATGCTTTTACCGCATACACTATAAACTTTTCATACAGTTTCCTCTATAGATATGACAAGGAGTGGGTGCGGTGACCAATAGACAGTATATTTTTGCAGTTGGGGTGGGTGGGGTGCCCATTGTGGAGTTAACATCCTGAAAGGTGAAAGTGGGCTTTGCCACTGAAACAAATGTCATTGAGGAAATGTTCACGCTTTTCAATACGATCGAGGAGCCAAGTACACATTGCCATCCTCTGATCAATGTCAACCTCACGAATATGAATTATATTGATATAAGGTGAATTCTGCCTTGAGAAAGTGGGCTGTTGAGGTGTAGAAAAGTCATAGCCGCAGACACGGTCTGTGGACAGACATCTCATGGGACTCTACTCAATTACTGCATCCTTGTGATTTGTGACATTGAAAGGGGTGCGAATTGTGCGTTTTTGACCTGTAGTGGTCGTTTTGTCCTGGAATTTTTCATTCTTATTCTCTCTAGATTCAAGTGACGGAATATCTCAACCCATGACAATAACATCATAGAAGCCGTTCAGGGCAATTTTTTAATCATTCTTTCCGTACCCTGCGTGAAACCTACGAAATGTCAGGGTATGAGTTGGAGGCGAGGTTGCTCTCATTACAAAATACTCTCTGCTCTGTAAAATACTAAAATAAAAAGTAACTATGATCTCAGCAGGCAAAGGAAATTTGAGAAAAACAATATCTGCAAACTTCTGTTGACTTGTCAGACTGCTGTAGCTTGCAATATGGCGCGAACATTGCGACTTTTAGCCATATAGGACATATGTGAAGCGTGCTGACAAAATGAGTAACTGCTTGGATTCGAGTCCTGTGGAAATAGGTATACCACGCTTAAAGGTGAAGTTTTTACTTAATATAATAAGTAAGTATGAAATAGTAAAAGGCTTTTTATACTTCTAGAGAATATATAGGGCATCAATAGGAAATCTACAATTTTGACCTTAGTATCGATTTTTGGCCAATACCTCCATCTGTGGAATGCGAGAAGCAACTCATTTTGTCTGTTCGCCTCTAATCTAATGCGAACTGGTGCGTCATACTTCCCAAGTGGGGATATATCTGTGTGCGCCTGGAGAAAGGTACCAAAAGTCGCCACAGATCATTTTCAGCTACAGGCTGATAATGACAAAAAATCGCTTTTTTAATCAAAATGTGTTTCCATAAAAACATGATAGTTCCACCATTTTTTAACAATGTATTAAAAGGGTTTTCATTGATTTGACTTCTAAATATTTTATTTTCGATTATTTTGAGGATAGAGTATTTAAAAAATATAATGAAAACTGCTGTTATAAAAAGGTGTTAAAATCTACTCTTAAAGCATTCTCTTCCCTGCTATGCTTTATCTTTGAATTTTAATCATGATATATTGATGTCAACTGAATGGCAAATTGGAAATGAACTTTTCATGGATAAATAACATTTAAAAGAAGTTTTATTTTTTCAATTTTGTGTGTTCTCTCATTTGTTAAACTTAAAAAATATCATTTTCTCAAAATTATATTTTTATACCCTACCTCGCAATATGTGCAATATATCTCAAAAACTACTTGATACCTCAAAAATAAAAAAACCCACTGTGTTCAGCATTGAATTTATGGCACTACCCTTCACTCAAAATTGTCAAAATCTGACTTTTGGTACCTTTCTTTGGGCACACACACATATTATGTCCAATGATGCTAAAAATGGTTTGTTTTCTCATGCGCTATACAGAGCAAAACTATTGTGTGGAATCATCTAAAATGAATATCAGACAAATTCCTTTTGGCTGGCAAATATTTTGTTCAAATTTGAGACCCAAAGCTTTGACGTTGAGGAAAGTATTTTCGAAAAAAGTTGCAAAGTTGTTGTTTTTTTAATCGCCCTGTGTATGCCTCTACTCAGCAGCTGTGTGCTTTTTCGTGTGTGTCAAATTAGAATGGGTGGTATAGAGGCATCGCCTCCTTACTGAGAGGTTGCTTCACTCACTGTGCCAAAGCTCCCAGTTCTGTGGAGTTTCTTTGAAACTAGATGTGCTGGGCAGGATAGATAAATGTGATACTGACTGGATGGAAGAGTGGATGATGTCTTGTTTGAGACCAAAAGATTTGTTTGCTGGCGTTGAAATTTAAACTAGAGTTTCAAATCTGTACCAAGCACATTTGGTCGCTTAAAGCACAAGGGGGCTATCCCGAAAAATGCTGTTTTGAGAAAATCGACAGAAAAGTTTTTGCCCCTTGTTCAGTTTATATTTAAAAGGCAAAGAGAGTTTTCTCAGTAACCAAACAAATACACACCAATGAAACCAAACTTGTCCTATAGGTAGGGCAATGCCCACATTTGCTGTTGGTGAAGATTTCTGGAAACCCACGAAATGCGGGTTAGCCGGCTTGTCCTTAAAAGCGACCATCTCTCTACCTTGAATCCTTTTATTTAAAAATAAGAAATATTTTTTTTTACGTGATTTTATATAAAATGAGTGGAGAATGGTATGTAAGATAAAAAAGCCACTTTTTGTAAATTTTAAAAACATACTGTTTTACTATAAGCTGCTGTTTCAAAAGAAAGATTTTATTTTTCATTATGTTGACGGCATGTGTGTATTATGACAAATCGAATGTTGCCAACTGATGAAGGTAAAGAAAAGTGGTTTGGTGGTTTCAGAGGGTAGCTGATGAGCTTATCAATCAGTGATCATACAGTCATTACTTTTGGGAACTGATTGTATTTGGACAGCATTTACGGCACTACTTTTGACAGGATGAATGAGTTGTAGCTTTTGTGAATTTTCAGACAAACATTTCTCTGTGGAGCATTGGCATGTTTGTAGTTTGAAGACTACCCAGTGCAGCACTCATAGTGTGAACATATTTCAGTTCTAGGATCGGCTGTGCCTGAGGACGATTTCTGGGATGAAAGGCAAAGGGTTAAATTCTGATTTCCACTGTAAAATGTCAGTTTTGGTTGTGGAGATGGGGTTTGATATATATTTTTTAAAAATTTAATCCTGTTCTTCTTTCATGTGCATGGATATGTACATGATAGGGTATACTTTTTTTTACCTTTCATATTTTTAAAGAGTTTTAAGTGTTAAACAAAAAAATTAAAAGAGAAATGCTTTCAAGCTCCCGCAATGCTCTCCAAAAGACTCTCGTTCACACTCGCTTCCTGTCATTAGTACTGTCTGCCCTCTTCTCTCAATACACTAACACACAGTGCTCATACTCCCTGCCAGTTGTTTGACTTGGCTCATAATCATTTCAGTTGGGTTCATAACTGTATTGTTTCTTTTTTCTTTCAGCTCCCTAACATGTGCAAACTTTTGTTACTATGGAAAAGATGTGAACAGCATAAAAGCCCTACAGAACCAGTCTTGCTTGACAGGAGAAGTTCATTTGTTAAAGACTCTTTATGTGACAGACTACAGTGAGAAATCGCAGACTGAAGATCCAGTTGACAAACAGAGCGCCAACTTGAAACAAGCTGCTAATAATGGAAGCAAAAATTGTTTTGTTTTTCGTCATATTTCCACGAATGTGTTGCAGGATAATGTGAAACAAGAGTCTGTGCATACTCAGTATGGTTGTGACTTCAAGAATGTGTGTCGAGATGTGCTACATGATGACATAATAGTGAATGTAAGTGTGAACATATTAGTGAGGCAGCATGGTGAATACAGGCGCTCGTCAAAATAACGAAATCGAAGGAAAAGGCATTTTTCCACTAGTTTGGACATTTTAATCTTATTTTTATTTTATGGCTCAACTTCTTTTATGTCCATATAAAAACACATTTCCATGTGAATTTTACTGAAAAACATTGATTAAAGACATAAAATATGTCATTTTTCCTTTTTCAAGGACTCTTTAGCTATTGGAGTTCCCAAACTTTGAGGGCCATATTTTTGTCGCTAATTTCACCCTCTGAAACCAGGCAACCTCACCTCCTTCAATCGCAAATATTTTGATTTCTATTCGAGATATAAGGATATTTATTTCATCAGAAGCAAAACAAATTAAACTGCTTTCAGTTGATTCCAGTAACTTTGTGTGCCCAAAAATTGATGAGCGCCTGATTCCACCGCGCCGTGACCCAATATTTTTTTGTTTCATCTTACAAGATTCAATCTTTAGATTTTCATTTCTCTGTATCTGATCAAATGATATTTTGGAGACAGGAACATGTTTTATTATGGAATGATATTTTTATATGATGCATTTCCACACATAGCTTTTAGTAAATGTGTGTTTTATCCATGCAAATACAGCAACTTTGAGAGTTTAACTTCGATTAAGTTTTAAGTTACATGGGCCAAGGTGACTAAGACCACCTTTTGTACAAGTAGTGTCAGTCCTAAATCATTGTAAACTAATAATTTTAATTTTAGAGTTGGGGGCCTGATAGTGTTTGTCAAACGCATAGTATTAAAGAGGTACAGTCTGATTTATTTTCAAAAATAAAATGCAGTATTTTTTTGGTTTACTTATGAGGCCTAATTGGTATTTTTTTATTCCTAAAAACATGATAATAGCTCTGCAGGCACCATTTTGGGCAGAACTACACTTGAATCTAAGGTGTCTGCCCCTTACTGCTAACAATTGGTTCTTTATTGTCTTATAAAACTTTGGTAGAGATAGTTTTCACAAATGTACTTTAACTTTAATAATGTTTTTGATGATAACATACTTTAAAATTGGGTGAATTAACTGATTTTAATCTCTTATTTTTAGTTTTTTAAATACTTTTTATGTGGATGTTGTAGTCTTGATCGTCTCTTCCTGGAATTGCTGATTCGAAGTGACTAAGACCACTATTTGAATTGCCTGTTCAACCCAATTTGCCTGTCTATATGTTCATTCTTTATATTATTTCTATTTTCAGGTGAATTGTGTGACATTAGCACCTGGTAATAACAGAATGGCCCCGTAACAGTATATGGTCTTGCTGCTAGGTTGAGCTTAAAGTCTAGAGCTAGAGATAAAAGGTTTACATTTATACGAGGAATTGCCGTACATCTTAAGCTGGCATTCATTGATGATAAGCTATTAAGTATGCAACTCTATCAAAATTTATTACTATTAATGATATATTCTCTTCTATCTCTCTCGATTTCTGTTCCAGTATAGCACTTTAATCCCAGTCTAGACCTAGATAAATACATTAATACCCATTACTAAAATACCATTATCACGATGCGGAGAGCCTACAAACCAAAGCTTGGTGAATGGCATATAATAAAGATATTGACCTGAAACTTTCTAACACTATATTGTCCTCTGAGCCCTTTAAGCCTTTTCCTACCGCGAGCCGCACTTTGCATCTTGCAGATGTGGCCTCGCTGGACCGAGAGCCGGGCTCGCTATCTATTCCAATCCTGTAATGAAAAGACATTAAATTCTCGGCCGATCCACGTTTTCAAAATAATAGAATTGTCTTCCTTTTGTGGAAATGAAAGAAAATATAATACTGAGAGACGATATCTATCTAGTGATTTCAGAGCTTTTTTCGGTCCCCTTTGAAAAATAAAAATGAAAATAAAAGTGCTCCCCTGAATTCAGCATATGTCTCATATTTTTAACTGTAATAGGCACACATACATAACTTTCAGCCTTTCTTTGCATTACTTTAGGAAGCCTACCTGTGAAGTTTGAATGATGCTGTTGTTTTACTTTTTTAGATATGACCTTTCAAAGCTGGACAATTTCTTGATTTCATATGACACCTTCGATATTGCATAATAACTTTTAGAAAACCCAAACTAATATAATTGGAATAAATCTTCAACATTGCATCACCTTCTGATACATTATTTTTTAACCTTCAGTTTGATAGGCCATATGATATGCTTTGTTTGTGTTGAGTTGGATGTCTTGACATTTTCCTTTGATGGGGTAGGGGCCTAAAAATAGGACAGGGAAAAGCCCTGGGCCAGTGGTGGATTTTGGCCTTGTAGGAAAAGAGTTAAGGGGTACCGTACTGATAGTTTGATGCCCTCAGTAACACTCACAACAAGCATAAGTTATTTCCAGAGGTCTTAGTCACCCCAGGATGGGGATTACTAATACAATCATGCTGTTTTATAAGAGAGATTTTATAGGGTGGTCTTTGTCACCCCATGCTGGGATGAGTAAGACCAACCCCTAAAAAACTCTAGTAAATCCGCTTGAAAAATGGAGTAAATATTTTACTGGTTACTGGTCTTTGTCCCCATAGTGTCCTTCGTTACCTCAGTCCACCAGTATGTTCACATTTGATCTTTCATAATTTCTAGGAAAGCAATTTTCTCAAGGAACATTTACAGGCCTGTATGCCACATTGAATTTTACGAAGTGCAGACGTCAGAGTGTGTAAACCATTTTGACTCTCAATCTCATTCTGATCATGGCAGAGACATTCTTCTACATTAGTGCAAGGAAAATATGGACAGCCAGCTAACAATTCGAAGTAGAAGGTCATTTCTTTCTACCCTCTGGAAAGAGAAGGGATAGAAGATCAAATTAAAGACTTAATTGTACTTCAGTGTTTACTTTTACTTTAGGTCTCTTTTCCCTATATTTTGAAATTCCAGGTGACTATGAATGGATCACTGGGACAACTATTTTGCTGTTCGAGTGACAACTGCAACAACATCAGCAAAATTCCACATCTGCCTGCGGAAAACAGAGTATGCTATGAAGGGTATAGCAATAATACTGGTTCTCAAGTAGGTGAGTTTGGATGACGTTAAGTGTGCATGTCAGCATAATCCTGTTGACTGTTATACAGTAGCTTTTTGCCTCTTATCCGTTTCCATCATGTATATATATATACAAATTTAAGTTGTCTAGTGGCAATCAAAAGATTGCACATTTGCCCCATTGTCAGGTTGGATCTAATACCCAATTGTGAACTTTCTCTAATGGCTACCTGTTGATGACAGTCACTTTTACAAACGGCCACTTCCCACTTCTCCCCTTGCATTGTTGAAATAATATATGACACTGTCCAAAATTTCCACCTGCCCATGACAATACCTTTTCTCTTAAATAGTAGGTGGCCATCTTGGACAATTTTGACTTAAGTACCTTTTAAAAGACATTGTACACAATTTTTACATCCTTCATACAATATCAAGTCAAGCTTTTGCAGGAGGGGGAGGTGAGGGAAAAGAGGTTTGAAAGGGGGGAGGAGGGAGAGTGTAAACTTGGATAGGCATTTTGGAGGGGTATAAGGAAGGGAGAGGGGGATCTTTCTATGAGGTGATATAGTTTTCCCAGTTTTGTTTTTTTTCCTTTGGGGCAAAGATTTAAGTTTTGACGCAGTGGGACCCATAATGTGTGGCCTGAAAGAATGTCTTGTGTTTTACTCTCTTTCCATTGAACATTCTCATTAAAGACATACATATAAAAAGCTTACTTGAATGTAGTTGCTTGAATGAATTGATTTAACATACGAGATTATACTTTACTTTTACTTTACTTTTCCGATCCAGCGGCCATTTGGGTTCTAGCCCTTCGGTCTGTGAATATGGCAAAGAATTGACAGGTTTTAATCAGCTGTGCTCATATGAGATTATAAAGTTGACATTCGTGCCTCATCAACAGCTAAGATGAAGTCCTGTAGCCGTCCAGATGCCCTGTGTGCCAAGAAAACAATGTTCACAGATGGCAAGGAGGTGATGCAGCACTATTTCTGTGACCAGGACAAACTTTGTGAAGAGCAGCTGGCTTCAGGGGCCTTCAGATCTTGTCATGGGGTAAGTTGTCTCTGCCATTTGTTTTGATCATAATCAATCTTTTTCTCTGTGTGTCTTGGAGCTAATTTTCTAGCTAAACTAATGTTTCTTTATATAACTTATGTTCCTCTGAAAGTTTACCTCTTGTGGTAAGTACAGATCCCACCGTTTATGATCCTGGTTCTCTTAAGATCCCACTATTTTAAGAATACAGAACTTGTACTACACATGCCACCCCTAAGTTTCCGCTCTGATTCCCTCTGAAGGTCTACATTCGGCTAAGATCCCGCATTTCAGTTCATAATTTACAGAACAAAAACCTGGGTGGGAACAGTCGATCAACCAAGAGTGAAAAGTTAAGATCATTGAACTGCCCGTCGCATCAAAGCTCAGTGCCCCTAGACACTTGGAGGTGTGAACTGACCGCAGTGTTTGTTTTCCCCAAGTTTGCACTCGCATCTGACCTCTCAACCTAAACAAAGATCACTTGCTGGTTGGGGAGGGCCTACAAGTTTGCTTCAGGTGGGATCACATCGAAGTGTGAACCATTGCAACAGTGATTTCTTCTCCCAGATTTATGAAACAGACTGAATTTTGGTTGGTGTGGTCACAACGAAATAGTGTGTGACAACAAAAGGGGGGGAACTTGGTCAGAGATGGAAAGCTATTAATTTTGGACAGGTAAAAGGAGGAAGCAGCTGGAGAAGTGTAGATCTTGAGACTCAGGATAGGATAATAAGTGAAAATTGCTTGCTTCATGCCAATGTGATTGGTCTTCAAGGTTGACTACTCTTCGCTCGCCATATGTCATAAACCCACCCAGGGTCTCGTCAGTTCATTTTAGAATGAAGGGAGACCATTTTACTGGTTGTTGGCCTTAACATAGGTCACCATAGATTCTTCTCTTGGTGCATCAGCTAAGGTCCTGGTTGCCGAAGATCCCACATTTTCCATGCTCCCGAGCGCTGGGATCTAGGAAGGAGACTGCTGTATGATGTAAATGTGTTAACTTTTAATGTATTTGCTTTCAAGTAGGTTGTTCTCTTTCTTTATGTAGGGTAAGTTGGTTTGAAGATGGAGATCCCCCCCCCCCCCTCAACCATACACTCACATACTCATATACACATTTATGCAAGAACACTGCTTTTCTTGGGAAGGAGATGGCATCTGTAAAGTGAATGCGTTATTCAGAAATTACCATTGATTTTAGTTTTCTCTGTGCTGTTTGCTCAGTTGTTTACTAATTTCACTATATTTCATATGGTACAAGTTGGAATTATTCTTCTTAAGAGATGGTTTTTTTCCTACTTTACAGAGAGTACTGGAATCCAATATGACAGAGGAGTTGTGCTGTTGTGATGGAAACATTTGTTTCAAGCCCCCATGGGTGTCAGCCTCAGAAGAACTTGGAGACGGCTCTTTGAACAATACTTATTCCGACTGGTATATGAACCATCCAATACACAAACCCTCTGGGAGGAGGCAAAGTGGCTTAGTTATTAGTGGTATCATTGCAGCTCTTGTGATGATCATTAGCTTTGGAATAGGGGCTGTTGTGGTTGTAGTGTGCAAGAGACGTCAGCCGAGCAGAGACCCGAATGTCATTATGCAGTATGAGCGATTGTCAAACTCTGAGCCAGATGGTATTGAGGCCGTTATTTTATAGCATCACGTGCGGGGATAACATATAAATTTGTTGCTACTACAGCTGTTGTTTTGTTCACAAAGCATCATCTATTATTGTTATTTTGTTTTTTCTCAACTTTTCAAAAATCATAGCGCAACATGCAAATGTATAATTAATTGAAAACTTAAGAAAAGAAAATGCCTGATGATAAATCTAACCAAGAGTAATAATCAAAATGAGATTGTGAAACAGTCACTACCTAGTAATAATTTTCTGTCTCGTTGTCAAAAAGTGCTGCTGAGGTTTATAAATGCAGGTGCTTCAATCAATAACTAGCATCAGTTTACATTTTAGCGACATGTTTTCATTGTCACTGCGCTCTCAGCAGTAGAACCTGATTTGAACTAAGTGTAAGTTCTTTTCTATCAAGAAAGTGCATACTTCATCTGTTGGATTACCGTTTTGGTGGCAGGCAAAATGCAGATAGAAGATGAAGTCATTGGGGAATGACTCCATGAAGTGAGAAAAAATTATACCTGTTCACAATGTAGTAACACTTTAAAAAAAATTTACTTCCATACTAATATTCAAATCCATGGTTGCTTTGAAGTCATTTCTTTTTCAGTGTTCAGAACCATCATATTTATAGAGTAACCTGAGGTACAGAGTAAGATCATGAGTCGTACATAATTTTTGTCAGGAATAGTCTCCTAATCCAACATGACTTTTTGTCTCTTTTATTTTTTTAGTAAAAGTTTTGGACTTTATTAGTGGTTTATAATTGATTTTTGTCTTTTTAAAATTTCCTGTTGTAAGTTTTAATTACTTTATACTGGCATTATGGATGACCTCATAGTATTGATTTCTGTAGACTATTTTTTCTGAAACTTTTACATTTGTTCAGCATTGGATTGAACCCTGACTGGATGAATAATAGTTCTCTGGTATTCACCGTTTTAACTCTTGCAAGAGCTAGGGAAAACAATGAAAGAAATTAAACAAAACACGTTGTTGTTGAATATGACTTAAAATCCAGTACAGAAATTAATCTTGTGGTTAATGAGTGCTATTAGTAGGTTACACTTCTTTTCTACCTGTCTATTGTTACTGTATACTTGTCCTGCTTTTTAAATCCAGTAAATTACCATCATGGTGTTCAGGTGCTTGTCTTTTTAACTCAAATGTATTTTACCGTGTCATCTAATGACTTGTTAAGGATTTTTAAGTTACTAAAGGTATTTCGATTCACAACTGAACCCTTTTGTGTAAAAGAGAAGTTCTGAGCAGTTGTATTACCAAATCTTAATCTTGCATCAACCAATAAGATTTAAAAAGGTTTCAGCAAACCAAAATATATGTGGGGCATCGTGGTGAAATCAGGCGCTCGTTAAAATAATACATGTAGAACAAAAAATATCCGGGTTTTCCTGTCGGTTTGGTAATTTTTATTGAATATTTGTTTTTTTGGCTCAACATCTTTTATGTCCATTTAAGCTGTGTGTCTTTTACTAAAAACATTGATTAAAGGAAAAAAAAAATGTTAATTTTCGGTTTCCTAGGACTCTCAAGCTTTGGAAGTCACTAAACTTTGGTGGCCAATTTGTTTCTAACTTAACTCTGAGAATAGGTGACCCCCACCTCCTTCATTCTAAAATATCTTGACTTCTATTGAAAATAGATGGGTAATTTTTTCACAGAAAGCAAGACAATGCTCAAGCTTTAAGATGATGGCAATAGCTCCATATGCTCAAAAATTGACGAGCGCCTGATTCCAGCGCGTCGTGACACATGTGTACAGTGTGAAAGGTTCAGAGACCTGCAGTTGTTTTGCTGGATCGTAATCTTACTTAAACCTTAAAATGTAAATATATTTTTTTGGCAAACAAAACATATGTGCAGCCCGTGAACCTTTTGATGTTCATGTTCATCTTGTAACAACAACCAGTGACTTTATCTCGGCTGCTGTTTGCAAGTTAATCCTTTTTGTGTAAGATGATAACTGTGTACATGATGCTATTGTTCTTGGTTGTGGGCAATTCTTGAATTCTGTCATGTTTATTTTTATGAATATTTTACATGACATAAAATTATTTTGGTACCTGGACTTCTATTACAATCATCTCTGTGCTCGTTCTACTGTTTTACTAGCTTAAGCATTTTGTATGTGCAAGAGTTGAACAAGGTGCAATAAAATTAATTGTCTATGCATAATATTTTCTCAAGTGATTTGTGAAGTGGTCATAATTTCCTTGTACAAACATATGTTTCTGTATTTGATAGTAAGACTTACTTCCTATTTAGTTTTGATGTCTTTTTTAAATCTGGCTTGAAACAAGGTTATGTCACTGCTCATGTCCCACATGGGAGGTATGACAGAGCAGCAGAAAAAGGGAAACTAGAGATGGGACCACCAGTGTTTTGCTATTATTGGTCAGTCATTAAAAAAATGCATGATATAGTGGAGGAAATAGAAAATTTACCATGCAATTTAGTTTTTAGAAGAGACATATTTTGTAGCGCAACTCTAAGAGGTTGTCTTTCTCTCTTTAATCCACCAGACCCTGGGGCACTGAATAATGGAAATTGTTGTAAGAGAATATCATTTTTACAGGGATTTTAGCAGAATTTTTACATGGTTTGAATTGAATGGATACGGTCCTGTTATGTGTATGTAAATAAGTTGATGAAGAACTAAATTTTTATGATTGGATTTTAAAAATCAGTGAGTACTTTTCCCTTTTCCAGCTTTGAAGTTAAGGCAAAGTACAACACAAAGAGTAGGTTTATAGTGTTGTGTGACTAGTGGTAGTATAAGCAATGGTATTCTAGAGCTGCATTTAGATGTATGCATTGAGTATGTTTAACAATAATAATTGTTGTCTGGCTTGTCTTTTTGATGTAATTTTTGTTGTCCGAGATCATGATAACACAAGTGAATTAAAAGTGTTTGAACTGTGGTTGAGAAAAGAAATATATTTTGCCATGTTTTTGCTATCATAAAACACCACACACTCTCTTATACAGCCAACTCTTTGTAGGGGGGGGGGGGAGAAGCATAGATATTTTGGTTGCTAATAAAGTTGAAATAGGATTTTAATGACAGTAGACTTAAATGATGGGCCCCTGACTAGCTAATTTTGAGATGCTCATTCTCTCTTGTATTTCATTGGAAATATTTGTCTTAAAAAAATTAAATATTATTTTTATCCACTGGTGGATGAATGATAAGTAGATATATTTATGTTTGTGAATGTCATGATGAGATGGTGTATGGTGACATTAGTTTTGTTGAAGTGTGACCATTTTTATCTTGTCATTGAAGTGAAGCCACTGCAGTGTAAAGACAGCCACAGGTATAAAGATGAGCTATGCCACTTTCTTTTACCGTTAATGTTGTAAACTGCTGCCAGACGTGACGGCTTGTGTTCCCAGTGTGTTCATGCTGAAATATATGTTAAGTCTGACATTTTGCGTCTGACTGTGGGAATGTGAGTGTCTTTATCTCACTATGTCTATGTCTGACAGTGTCAGTGTCTCACAGTGTCCATGCCTGACAGTGGGTGTTGTTTTGTACTGATATTTGTGCCTTTTCTATTGTGTGATAGCTCAATAATTCTTTGGGTGACTAAAATTTCCAAATCATCAAACTCTTAAAGATGGAGAGAGTGTGTGAAAGAAAGACAAAATGGAAGTAAAAGACTATTTATTATGTATGTACAGCAGTGTGTTGACATGGAATAACACAGAAGAAAAAGAAACTCATTGTAAATTTACTGACAATTGGTGCATAAGGGGTTGTATTGATTGTTACTTTTTAATGGAAACCAAAGTGTGTGGTTTACGAAGCTTTCTGTTTTTAGTTCTTGGAATAAATAAAGTACTGTTGTTTGCTCTTAAAGCATGATCCTTTCTTTGTAATGTACACAGTGTTGAATCTGTGTAAATTTTCGGAGATTTGCAAGATCTGGTACTATCTGTTTTAATTTTTGACACTTGTACTGTTTTGAAGGAAGATTTTCTTTATTGCTTTTTACATTGAGTTACATATTGGTTCATCTAAGCTACATTTTTGCTGGCAAAAGTGAAAGACAGTATTCTGTCTGATGTGTCATTCCCATCCTATGTGTTTCTTTGTATATTCATACAAAGTCTTGGGCTGAGAAGGCATCTTTTTATTATTTACTGTTGGATATTACTGCTTCATTTCGGCATTCTTTTTACAGTTAGGTTTTTAAAAATATTTCATTGGTATCAGTTATTTGTGTGGTTTTGAAGGTTTTTTTGGGTTTTATGTCCAGTTTACTAGTGGTGGTGTGTACACAGGTATTGTGGAAGGTGGATTGATCTGAGGTGATGAATATACATGTACCTTATATGAAAATGTTAAAGGGCAGTAAATAAAAAGGATAGGTCTGGACCTGTTGAATCTGTTCGGTTGTTTCAGAAATATTGGTTGAGCTCTTTTTGGCTTTCTGACTGTGCATGCATAAGGTTGTTGCACTATAACTTTTGTTCTATCCTTTCTGTATAGTATTTGACATTAGTCCCTCAACAGACTGAAATTTTGTCTTTGAAATGCCCTTGGTTAAAACTGATTGATGAAAACACTTTTCTTCGGTGTTTTGTGGAATGGGACCTATTGAAATTTTTCCTTTTGTTTAACACCAAACTGGTCTTTTTTATCCTGTTCAATTTATTTGGTTTTATGAACTTTCAACAAAGGTAATGAAAATGGTGAGGGAATTTTTATAGAGCAGTGCAAATTATTTAATTAATTTTCTGAATTTTTTTGTCTTATAATCATACCCCAACTGACTAAAATGTTGCCTCAAAACAGTCCATAGGTTCTGTTTTACACACTGTATGGAAGAACGATGTAAGTGTTCTATTTTTTCTATTTTTACATTTTTGACCATTTGGTTTCTAATGTGATGAACAATTCTCGATTCAATTCTGTGAACCCATGTCTCGCAAATACTTGAAAAATTAATTTGTAAAAAGCAATAACATTTTTTTCTCTCCATTAATCGACTGACTCCATGAGCTTACTTTGAGATTCAAAACTTTATTTATTTTTGTCATAAACCAAGAACAGCATTTCAGTGTTCAGCCATTAAATCTGTAAATTATGTGCATGTTCCTGAAGAATGTGATGTTGATATTTAGAAATAATATTTGTTGTGCAGTTTTAGTATTAACAGTTACTCATTTTCTCTTTTTAACCGATTCACCATAGAAAAGTTGAATGTATAGTTATCAAACTGTTGATCTAACCAAACTTTTTTTTTTTAAAGAGAGAATGCTGTGCAAGAGTTGATTAATTAACTATTTTGTTCAATACTATGCACTAAATATTTTAAAAAATAAATCGAGCAGCATACTGATTTACAAGTACGCAAATACAAATTACACAAAAAATGAAGACGACAAACATATATATATATCTTTACCAAAAGGTAATCTAATTAAATACATCTAAATCTTGTAAACCATACATTTACTTTATTGAAGCCATTGAGTCTTTAAATTATGGAATTACTTTGATGACTAAGTTCTAACCCTACACTTTGGTATGGTGGCTGGCCAGATGAACAGACCTCATGGGCCAAGTCTGGTCTGTGAGCTGTAGTTCCGTGATCTCTGATGAGAAAGTTCAAGTTTTTCAGCCTCACCTTAACCCTTGGGGCTTTTTTTCATGAGGAGAAAAACAGCTGTTGCTTAATGTTTTTGGTTTTTTTACCTCTTCTCTGTCAGTACGTTTTTTTGTTTCTGTTCTTTCTTTCTTTTTTTTTCTTGCTTTCTGTCAATCTTTCTACATACTTTACTTCTTACTCTTTTTATCGGTAAAGACAGCAAGACTTTTAAAAAGTTTTATGCAGCGTGTATGTGTGTGTTTGCGTGTGTGTTTGAAGGTATATGTGTATAGGGTAAAGGCAGGGGTATTGTTTGCCTTTTAATGATAACCATTCGGGTTTGGATTTTATAATAGCAGTCACACGTTTTTACAGGAACATTTCCAGCTTTTAAAAATTCCCATAGTTGTCAGAGAAAATGTGTGAACAAGTAAGATTATACTATGGTGATGTGTGCATACTTTTTAGGGTTCTGAAATGTTGCTCTTGTTCAATATTTAAAGTAGACTTATGTTCTCCTGTATTTTCCATTTTGCTTATTTTGCGTAACCACTTTCTGCTCACAGCTTGGTATTTGCCTATGTTTCCCATCTCTTTTTTTCTCTAATTTGAATGCCTCTGTCTATTGTAATGGCATACGATTTACTTATAATTTTGATCATGGTGTTTGATGTTTTGCATGACTGAAGAAAATGAAATTGACAGTTGCCACCCGTACATGTCACTGTCAGGAGAAAAGTGATTTACCCTATTCTATTTGGACCTGCTTCATGGTGTGAATAAAAATACATGGGCTGCTCATTTGTTTGTTTTTGTGACAGCAGCAGCAATATGATGGAGCGCATAAGGTCATGCCTATTTTTTTTAATTCTGTATAATTTGTGCTCGTTCAC